ACATCAATTTGTACATACAACTGACCACTTTGGTCTTACATGTAACAATGCATACAAATATATGTACATATGGGTATTACACTAAAAATATTATGTATCATTTTGTTCAATAGCGATATGTTGGTGCATCAACGAAGAACATTCGTAATAAAGATTTAAAATTATTTCAAACATTGGTATATAAAGACATAATCTCGTAATATAATTCATAGTCTTGGACGAAGGGAAATATTGACTAGTACAGTAAATTATATAATAATAATTATTAAACATTTGTAATATAGAAATTAAATAAGAAATATTATCTAAACAAAACGCTTACAGTTATTTGGTATCGTTATAAATTCGTTCTACAGAAGAAGTCATACATAAATACATACAGGCGTACATGCATACAAACATACATACACACTCTCACACATGCATACATGTACAGATTTCTTCAAAATCATGAGATAATGAAAGATATAATTGCTTGTTGAATTAAAGAAAATCAAAATGCATTTTATTATTTATTTTAAAAATTTGAGATTTCAGTTTAAGTGCGTGCAAATTTTAATGCATTCTGTTTAAATGTTGTGAATCGAATGTTCGTCGGCTTATACACGTGAATATATATATATATATATATATTTTTTTTTTTTTTCATTATGAAAAGTTTGCATTCTCAATTTGCCTTATGATTTTGAAACACTCTGTAGATATTTGAATATTTAAAATATGGTACGGAAATAATATATTTTTAAAAAACTTCATTTTATGAAAATGATTGAAATGCGTTAGAAACATAATACGTAATAAACATATAACGATAATGTGAAGATGTGAGAAATTTTTAGAATCCATTTTAAATATTAAAGGTTCAGAAATAATGAGAAAATTGAAAATAAATGAAATATATACTTTTTGTAAATAAAAAACATTTTGATAAGCAAATAGTATAACGAAACATATAAATTATGTATATATTATAATATATTATTTACAGTTCTGTAGTTATTTCATCTTGTGGTCGGAAACCAAGAATTGTAAAATCATCAATGAGGTATTCACGAGCAGGTGACCAATCAGATAAAATGGTATAGTTAGCAGCCTCTGTACTACTTTGAAATTCCCATTGAGGGTTTAATTCCCGATCAAGTCCATTTGCTTCGCACTCATCTATTGCACATGTGGATTCTGTTAAAGTTGCACCATTATTAAAATTATCATTGAAAGTTGCAATAGCAAGCTCTTGAAAATGTGCATTTGATGACTTCAGACGTTTTTGGTTGTCATATACTAGTGGTGTTGTTTGTCCTATGCTAGATCCATTTGGGCTAAGTTTTTCATTATAAGCTCCAGAGCTATTTTGTCCAAGACTGGAACTCACAGGACTATCTTTTACATATCCCAGACTGGAACTTGCAGGACTGATACTTGATTTGTCACTTGCTTGAAATGTTGTAAGTGGTACATTTGCTTGGAATGTAGTCAGATTAGTTGGAGTGGTTCTTGGTTCATAAGGCTGAGGTGATTGTGTGATTGTTACTTGTTGTGGTGCATTCATTTGTATAGATGCTGTTGGTTGTTTCAAGAATGTTACAAGTTGAGCCACCTTCAAATATAAGATATTATTTTTTACAAAATAAAAACTGCATAAAGTTTTGTCAGTATATGTAATTTCACTTCAAAGAAATTCTCTTTTCATGCACAAATACATTGATTATTTTTTTATCATGCATGACTCACCAAAGTGTTTTAGAGACTTGCATGAAAAAGAAGTAAAATTTAAAAGAACAAGCTCTTTAGAATAAAAGATAGTTTCTTCTTACAGTTCTTAGGGAAACAAATTAACTTACTTCAGGAGAACTGTGCCTTTTATACCGTCTTAATAGTCTTTCTGCCCATGAAAAAAGTCTTTGCCAATCATCTGGAGGAATTGGTACTTCATCATCCCTTCTATTGATAAGAACTAATATCCTTGCCAAGTCACGCAAAACTGGTCTGTAAATTATAATTATGATAAAAGAAAGCTTATAGCACCATCTCCATTATTTCCAGAGAAATACAACTCTCTAACTTGTCTTCTAGTATCATTGAGCATAGAAAGAAATGTATTGCCTTCTGCCCTGAGCATTGCAAGATGTTTTAAAAATTCTCTTCTTTCTGCACTAAAATATAAGTGAAAATATAATTTACTTTTGACATTATCTGCTTTTAATTATGCTTACAATGTATAAGAGATATACCTGTCTTCAAATTGTTGGATCAATTTAGCAGCATTTTTCCTTCTTCTATGCACAATTATAGCTCCACATAATATGATTAGAATACATATAGATGCACCAGAAATAACTCCTACCAAAATGGCTACTTGACTACCAGTAAATCCAAACATATATCCTGTTTCCTTACAAATTCTGCCCATGTACTCATCCCTAGTCGACCAATCTGCAACATGGCCTGGTGGACAAGTATCGACACAGGTACCTCGATGTAAAAGAACTGCACATCTTGCACATGTTCCATCTCTACATCTCTTGCATCCTTCTTGTCCTTCAATACATACTGCAATGGTAAAAGTGTACAGTTTAAATTTTTTTGGATACAATAATAAATATTTTATATCTTAAATGTCAATAACTAATAGTATATAAAAGAAATAGTGTTCTAAAAATATTTTGTAAAGGATGTTATAATTATTTGTAGTATTTAAAATAACTTTTTTAAAAAATAAATTTTACAAATGTATATTATGTCATTTATGTTTAAAATTTTTTTGTAAATTTCATGCTTTTTAACTCGAAGCTACCATATTTCATACAACTCCCTTCTATACTTTTAGAATAAAATGTACCACTTTATGAATCTTGCGTAAGAGGGACAGGATCGTGCAAATCGAATTCTTGTGCCGATCAATGATCCATAGCCTGAAGCTGTGCCCCAAATGCTTGACATACATACTTGGCATGTGTCAGTGTGAAGGAATACTTTATATTAGGATTTCATATATATGTAAATCATAGTGTTCTAAGCAGAAACATATATTTTACATATAATATATTCATAATGCAATTTTACAATTTGACTGGATAATATAATTTTCAACGTAGTTGTAAAACTACGGGGTCAAGTATGACTTGAACGATAGTTTCATGTTATAAATTATAACATTCTCATATTTCTTTTCTTTTTTTCATTTATATTATATACTACAAATTAATTTTTTTAAATATTACTGAGCGTACGTGATAATATTTCGTATTTGGAAGATTTCTTTAAGTCGAGTTTTCCCATTCTTTTTTCAATACCTGAGGATAATTTGTCTACAGTATCTTCACAGTTTTATATTGGACAAATATTTTAGACGAATGAAAAAACGGTTCGAAATAGCAATTTGCAAAATTTACATTTGACACTGCATTCTCTTGTTACGTATGACCTACCATTTGCGATCACGTCGAACAGTTATTACAGAGCGCTATAGTGACCAACGAATACAACTAATAAGTGAAGGTTCCAAAGTGTAAATCGATTTTAACGAAACTTACGTATAATGTAATTTTAAAAAAATATTTCACACGTATGTTTTTTTCCGTACCAACTCCTAAATGTAGGCAAGTGAAAATAGCTAGAAAGAAACCATTATAAACATGAGCTGAGAAGTAAGTAAGTAGTTCCTCGTGCAATTTATTTGTTAGACGTGGGGCTAACTAAGTAATTACTACTTTTTCAAATCAACCGAGTTTTCCTGAAGGGATAAGCAGTTTATAACTTTTAACTACGTACGACGATACGTCGATATTATTATCGTTTAAAAACCTAAATTATATTTTTCGCGATAGAATTCATAAATTACCAAGAAGATGATATAAAATTGTATTAAACGATGGAAAATATTTCGATTAAAATAACTTGCTTCTTTTCTCGGAAGAGTTAGACATTTTATAACTTTCGAATACATATTCTAAGGAATAACACTAACAAATTATAAACAACACGATAAAACGAAGAATTGATTAAAAATTGTTTACTATACAACTATAAACTTATAATTATTTCATGGATACACATGGTCGGAAAAAAGGACAGCAATTTGTAAGCAACGCGATAAAACGAAGTTCCAAGTCGTATCAAGTAGACCCTATGCGGTTGTGAGGGCCTATTAGTACGTATATGAGGAATGCGGTTGTTGGTTTTTTGATTACGTGTCCAATCCGTTTTGTGGGATGGTTGAAGGATCAACGATCACATTCTCCAGGTTGAGAACACCATCACGTGTCTCCTTCTTTTATCACGTTCTAAACTCTAATTGTAATAATCTACCTACAGGGGTAAAATGGGACAAATGAATGGGGGGCAATGTAGGGATCTGGCCTATCTTACCTCATTTAACTAACGTTATCTACGAATTCTTTTCTTCACATTTTCTTTAGTTTCAGCCCTATTAAAGGACATTTTAACATAAAGTTTATGACACGGGCGAAAAATTTCGCTATTGTTGAGAAGATCGAATATTACCGTGAATTATGTTATCAACTTCGGCGAACACTTACTTAATCCTTTCGCTACAAAGGGCGTATATACACGCTCTGTAAACTGGTCACTCATTTACGAAGAGCGTATATACAAATTATTAATTTATTTTCGCACTTCACAAAATAAAATATCTTTGTCGACTGAAAGTCAGGTAATATTAGAATTTGATACTAGACATTTGACTATCATAAAACAGTTGATCTTTAATCATACGTATCTTTATATACAGCCAGCACTTTTTGTCTCAAGAGTGCAATAGTGAAAGGGTTAAATGGTAAAAATGCTGAAAAAGGAAAAAGGAGTGCTAGTAAATCAAGAAGACCTTCAAGATGTATGAAACAAAAAAATAAATAAATTAAGCAACATCCTTGTCGAGAGAATCTTCTTTTTATTCTTTTTATTGTTTGTTTACCTCTACATATTATATCAAACCACACAGTTTTGGGCATTCGAAAGTTAGGCCGGTTTGTGTAATGTATCAATAATGATACATACATAAAATTGTAAAATAAATGTCAATAAAAATACAACTGCTTCGTTTACTTGTGTATATATATGTATATAGTAACAAAATTTAATTTTAATATTTGTTTGTTTTAAAATGAAATAAGAAATATTTCACTGTTACTTCTTAAATATTTATTTCACATTTTGTATAATAAACCCTTACATTTTTTTATAAATAAGGTGTTTTCAAATGCACACATAATCCTATGTATATAAATGCACAATAATGATATTACAAACATGAAAAACCTAAAAAGCACTTACTTCTTCTTTCGAGCCGTTTCGAAGACATTTTTCATCGAACTTTCTATTTCCATCAAACATCTGTCTGCAGGTTCATTGATCCGTTAATAAAATAAGTTAGAAGCAAACAACGTAATGCAATATTTCCAATTTCAATATTGCAGAAACATCATCAACGAGGATTTAACTTTGTCATACACGGAAATTTCATCGGTTTTCAGCGCGTCCCACGGATTTTTCTTTGAATTTTCAATTTCATTAATCCAGTTCTCACTGATGAATTATATCGTGTCATTAGGGCGTAAAATGCGAAACTTGCTTTCCAGTATTTCACGTGAATTTGCAGTAAACGCTGACGAATATTAAGAGAAAGTCCTGGTCACCTTTTACATTTCATGCTACCAGTTCATAGAACTACATTTTACAGCCTTCCTAGTTGCAGAATGATCGATATTTTTACATTTTTGCAAAGTAAGAAGCAAGAAACGCAGCTGATTACGTAATTTCGATGCAATCGTAAATTAGTATATTAGAAATTGTACGGTAAATAGCTCGAAAGAAACGTGCTTTCCGCTTGAAAAATTTCTTGCTACTGAAATATCACAGTATTGTAATTAAAAAAAATGATTTAAACATCTTATTGCGTGGTGCTGTACGATAAATAGTAATGCTATATAAGAATTTTCGTCACAGTAATAGTGCAATAAAAGATGGCGATAACTATTCGTGTGAAATTTCGATGTAAACAAAAAGAAATTTATATCTGAGAAAGAGAAAGATTCTAGTATCTATCTTTATACGACCATTTTTATCCAAAATTCCACCACCTATTTCTGTGTCACCCTGTATATTCATTAGTAACAAGAAACTAATTGAAGTTATCGTAAGAGTTTCCGCATCGTCATTTTTCAGTAAATTAATTCTGATTTTCACAAACGAAAATTCGTTTTACCAAAAATTGTGCAACGATTTTATATCTAAAAAAAGAAAGAAAGAAAAAAAATAATCAGCCTTGTATAATAAAATTACAAGAACAGTAAAATTGCAACAACATCGACTTCTACTAGAAGATTTCTTCTGCAAGATTTGCATAAGAGAAAAAGCAAGAGGAAGAACCTAAACCAATCGTCATTTCGTTTACACGAAGCATCGCTGAGCAATCTATTTTTCATTACGCGCGACACAACTGAAATTACTTTTCGGTCAATTGGTGAAAGAGAAATTGTCATTTAACCGAGTATGAGAACTTTCCACATCCCCACGGCCAATTTAGCTATCTAGAACGACAATCTACATCATTGCCAAAGTAGGAACCGAGTTCTCTCCTAAACGTTTCCTCGTTGCGGAATCCGTTCTCGTTTCACAAAGTGGAAGTTCCTTGGTCACCGTGTGACAATCGAAATCTAAAACAGGAGAAACTTCATGAAATCTCCGCCGCTAGGAGCTTTGAATACTTCTCTCAGATTAACGTAATTAAATGCTGTCACGCTGTCTAAATTGAGCATGTAATAATTGCTGGCCAGACTTTCTGAAGAGACATGCAAAAAATTCGAATGCAACAACTGTGTATAATTATTACAGTAGGTACTTAGATCTAACGTATCATGGCTGGTGCCTTTGCGACGTCGTGGAAACGGTTAAATGGTACGTAAATTGAAACAGATGAAGGAATTTAGTCGTTAACGAGCATAGCGAAGACAACGGGCACTTGGAAAACAGAGTGATAATCGTCACGTGTCGTTTTACGTTAGACATTAAAGGTGATATATTGCTTCAAAAATATACCCCAATAAGCGTACAAATAATCTAGCGATTAAGCATAGGTGTTTATGGAAATAAGTTCCTTTTTTTCTTTTTAATTAATTAATAGCTAAGAAAATTTAGAGCTTTACTTCTACTATCGGATAATGGTTTTCAGTTCTCCTGGTTTCGTTGTATAAATGGAACGGGACGTGTATATAAGGCAACACACTTAGGAACTAAACTTTCAAATTTCTTTGCCGCCAGAATTACAAAATTGCGCTAGCTAATAAAAAAAAAAAAAACAACCAAATTCTATTAGAATCTTAATCGTGTTGTGGTAGCCGAGTAGCCTCAATTGAGTACTATGCGCATGACTAGAATATAATAGTACCATTGGTCTCTCATCGTTCTGATGTGAGAACATTTACGTCTATTTCAGTAGTTACCGTACTTATTCGAGTAATTGTTTTCACAGAAAACGTTAAATATCAATACGAATTGTAAGTTTTCAAAATTCAATATTCACGTATGTTTCA